TATTTCACAAGACTGGATGACCAACATTAAAGCAAAATCATATCAAAATCACATCGAGGCAAGAAACTACATGTTTCATAGATAAAAAAGGTTGCAAAGGCAAGCCTAGATCATGCCTCGATGAGAACAATGTATCATGCACGAAAGTCTATCAAGGCTAGTCATTTAAGCATATTCTTGGTGGGCATTTTTAAATTAAAACATCATAACATTCAAAATATTGACCAACAAGGCACAAACATCCCATCAATCACTTTGGGAACATGCAGTAAATCAACATTCAACTAATCCCTCGCCTCATTTCATCATTCATGCAAAAATCCACAAATCTCCTCCCCCAAGAACCCTAGATCTGATTCTCCAAAATTGACAAATTAAAAGTTCAAAACACACATGGAAACTCAAGTATGATCTAAGAGAAAGGTGAGGAAGTCAAAATTCAGCCAAAAGTGTGGTCGCAGAACTACATCGGTGAAAAAATTGATCTCAAAACTTCCCAAAAGTTGGACGAAGATGCACCTCGGCTAGGGAAGAATGGGTATGTGTTTGGTTTTTGTATTGGGAAACTTGAAGTAGAGCAAATCGATGAAAAATTGTATGATATGACGATTTCCAACGAAGTGATATGAGCTTTCTGAAGAGGGTGAAGTTCAAGTTTGATAAATACTACGCCCTTTTATGTTGGCTGAAGACAAGGATCACGGGTCCTAATACGCAAACTGTGACCTCACCTAAAAATGGTGTGATTTTTGTATGTAACCCATGATTTCTGCACCATTGGCCAAAATCCATGTCTATATCACGGGATTTTGGTAATTGTCATAGTTCAAGGGCGTGATCATTACACCAAAAGCGTGATGTGTGCAAAAATGGGGATTTCACCAATTTTCAAACTCGATCAATACAATCATCGATCAAAAACATCAACCATGTACAAGGTGGTTATTCAAAATTCACACTTATATCTAACGCACACAAAAAGAGAAAAATAAGGAAAAGAAATACAAACCAACATTGGGTTGCCTCCCAAAAAGCGCTTGTTTATCGTCCTTAGCTAGATGTTCCGGATCTTGATGGTTTAAACATGAGTCCACCGAGAGTGGATCCGCCACACTCTTGAGTGATATGATCCGAAATAGGCCATTCTACAAGTTGGAATTAGTTGACGAAGAAGCAAGCTCACGCCTGAAGAACACTAATTCTTGTCTAAGTATTTTTAACTGTTGAGGTAGTCTACTTTGCAAGCCTGTTACTCTAAATTGCCTCGGTGGAAATTCAAATTTAAGGGCTTTTATTGAAGATGGAGTGTCCCTATACACATTGGTATGCTTGGAAGCTCAAGGGGAAGTCCAGAATGTCATTTTCCAAGCTCACCAAAATCCTCTGTCAACGCAGAAAACTGTCAAAATTTGGCTAATGTAGAAAACGAGTTCGTGAAGCCTACTTTTGGAGATCTATTCTAGAAGCACGGATGAGAGTCGAGTCAAGAGGAAGAAAGTGACGAGCAAGAAGAGAGAAGAATCTAGGGTTTCACTCCAAATCAAGGATTTGGGAAAATCTTCCCCAAAGGAAGATCTCTTCTACACAAGGAAGGATTCAAGCATCTCCATGATGATTTTTCTTCTTTCTCCTTGTGTTTTCCCCTCTCCTAGCATGGAGTAGCTTTCCTTTTCACTTGGGTGTTTGTGAACCCTAACCTCTACCATGTGATTGATTGTATGTAATGATTGTCTATGTGTGGGTGTGTTTTAATACGAATTTGGAGGTATTTTCATGGAAAATTGTATCATGTGTTTATCTATCAATCTATTTGCCATTCTAATCTAGCTAGAGAGAAAATCTCCTTTTGTTAAAGAGGCTTGTAAAGCTGGGCTTTCTTAGGCAAATCATATCTCCTATCTAGGTTAATGTGGGGCATCCCTCCTTGTTTGTGTTGGCATCTAGGTTGATTGTGTTTTGGCCGTCCAAATTCTGGTTCGAAAGTGAAGGTTTGGTAGTCCTTAGTCGATTAGGCCAAGAGAGCTACTTTGGCAGCTTTATTCGAATTCCTTGGCCTAGGGACCGAGAGAGTGATGTTCCATCACTAGATACACTTCACTTACGGTTCCCAATCACCTCTATCATACATTTTCAGTCATTCCAAAAAGTCATGATAGCGAGTTAGGGGGAGCTACACCCGGGTGAATCCTTCTCATTTAAGAGTCGAAACCAATTACTTTTACAACCGTTTAATAGTAGATCGTAGTTTTCAATCAAACAACCAATCACTAGATAATGTTTCAAACAGTCGAAGTAGGGGTACATGGTCCGACCCGGGTTGATATTTAAACATACTTGCCCTATATTGCACCCAATTAAGGTTTATACTTAGGCCCTAATTGGGAGTTTTATTGTGATATTCGTGACAAGTCAAGCATTACAAAGCGATTGAGGTTGCGTTATGCTCTTTTAACAAAGGGCTTCTCTCACATCCTTGTGGTGGGGGATTGAGTTTCCTCATCTAATTGGGATTGTGTGAAGCCTTACCATCCCAATGCAAGTCATGAAGGTATGATGCATTGGTTGATGATATCTTTGGTTAATCCGCAGTTTTATATCCTTCTGAGAGAGGCCATAGTCTTGCAGGTACTTGGCTCCAAGCTCAATAATTGCTAGAAGGGCGACTCTCGAATCTTCTATAGGCCTTAGGAGGGTATAGAGGTCGTGAGTTCTGGTACCCCTAACTAGGGAGGATGAAATCACGAGCTTGAGGATAGCGAGTTCCTAGAAAGTCAACCTCTTTGATTGAGTTGTGCGACGAGTCGTGAGTTCTATAGCCCTAAATTTATTCACATCATGATCATCCTCACCGCATTGCTCGCAACCAATGAGTTGTGCGACAGGGGTGTTTCAAATCATCTTTAGTGCTTGCACCTCTTTAAAAACAACAACAATTTTCTCTGCTAAGGCAACCAGTGAGGCATATAGTTATTGTACCATCTTTACTATCGCATGAACATTCTTCCTCGACTAATTTCGATACTTGGTAGCTATAGATGAATATTGTTGATGAGCATGGGGAGCAGTCATTTGAGATACGTCACCTTCGACAGATTGATTGACCATCACGGTGGTGTTTAGGTGAGGGCCTTGCCAAAGATGTAGGCCACCTGTTCTTGTGCAAATCCATGATAAGGGCACGAATGAAGCAACCCTTGGTAGAGCTCTCACTCTTTGTACAATGACTCATGAGGTTGTTGCCGAAATCAAGCAATTTGGTCTCTTAGCTCATCGGTTTTCCACGGAGGGAAGAAATCCTCGAAGAAATCTTAGACCAACGCCTCCCACGTGCAAAATTACCCATGTGGTTGGCAATATAGCTAGCTCTTTGCCTTTCACAAAGAGAGAAAGGAAGAGACGTAGTCGTATTGCGTCGAGTTCCACACCTGGCAGCTGTGAAGACTCACATATTTCCGGAAACGTTTTGATATGATGACCAGATTCCCTTTATCCCGTCCCTCAAAAATTCCAGTAATCTGAACCATTGAGATCATTGACCTGGCAAAATTTGGTATATTGACCTGACAAAGGATGATGCTAGAACCGATGTTGGCAGCTTGATGCCTTGTGTACTCGTAGAGAGTTCGTTCAGCCATACCTCTAGGTGATAGGGATTCATAGGTAGAGAAGTTACTCTCGACTTCTAAACCTTCATCGAAGAGAGGGTTAGAGTGTATAGCAGTAACCAGCTGCTTCTTTCCCCTTTTATTTCTCAGAGGATTTGACCTGTGATCGAATGAAACAAAAGTACAAATCTTATAAACTTGAACTTGAGCAAGCCTTTTGTGGGGAGAGAAACTCATAGCTACTACCTCATCTGGCCAATCATAAAGCTCCAAACTTGTTGCTAGTGAATTCGTAAGCTCCAAGATAACTTTCTAACGAAGTAGAAGTGCCACGTCAAACGGTGGCTGAGGCGTCGCTTTTGGTCATGGGCCACCATTGTGAGAGCCATTTTCATAAGTCGGTCTTCTCTTGGAGTCTCAGCTCCATGAACTGGATTTCCCCTTCCACTACCAAGCGGTCCACTAATATGATTTGACCTGAAAATGGTTGGATCATAATACGGGGACACGTGATAGTCAATTCTATGTTTCATTAGAATTTATTACTTCAATCTACAAATGACACATCAGTTGGGGTGCGACGAGCAGGAGAAGAGGGAGGGGAGGCGGCGGTGGCGTAGGGGTTTAGGCTAGTGTTTTTGTTGAGGGCTAGAGTGAGAGGGAGAAAGGAGAAAGGGATGAGAGATTCTGATTTTTTTTATTGTTAATGGATCTCATATTATATGAAAAATGAGAGATGGATCAAATATGGGAGGTGTTGTTATTTCAAAATTTCCCTAGACTTATTAATCTCTACCATTAATTTGAAAATATGAAGAAAGAGAAGGGAAGAGAAGGCTAAGATATGGGTGTCAAAAAGGGCAACCCTCTTAGGGGTTGTCATAGTATGTCATTCTATAAAAATGGTAAGTCACAGTGAGTTTGAAATTTCATTGACAAAGTCTAATTAAGATTCCCTCTCTCTAGCCTGTCACTTAACCTAAATAATTTTTTTCTTCTTCCATATCAATTAGAGAAATTCTCTCTAGTTTTATCTGCTATAGTTAGATCAGTCATAATTTTGACCTTTTCAAACCAATTGTATAGGGAAAAAATTAAAAAAACAAACAAAAATTGTTTCTTTATAGCTCTGTCTAATTTATCTAAGACGATAAATATGATAATTCGTGTTCAAACTATTTAGTACATTAACATCGTAGATTCCAATGTCAGCTCCATAACAATTTACTTGTTGTCTAAAGGAAAACAGTAAAACAAAACATCAATTCAAAGTCTCAAATATGTAACGTGTTTTCAAACAATGGATAACAAAATAAGGAAAAACAAAGCTTAATGGGAATGGATTTCATCGGAAAAAACAGAAACTACATCAGAAACACAACCTACACTAACTAATTGTTGAATTGGAAGAATTACCACTGTATTAATTTATCTTTCGTTCCCCAAAATGTTGAAAAGCAATCAATTAGATTCAAGATCAATAGCCTCCATCTTCATCTTCTCATTTCTTTGTCAAAAAATTTCCCTTTTTTCAAAGATCAACAAGATGGGATGTGGATCATCTAAACTATCACATATTGGAGATGTTATAATGGTGCCAACAAAGATACGACCAATGATAGTGCGAAAGATGGATGAATTAAAAAGGCATGCTAGGAATTCTAGGGGCTCCGGTGCTTCAAGGAAAGAGCTTCTCAAGGACACCAGTGGATATCATAGTAGTGATTTCTACGTCGACAGTAGTAGAGGATCCTCCACCACCGTAGGAGATAATAGCCTCAAGCATGGAAAAAATACACATCTGTCATCAGAACAGTGTGAGGAATTCAAAGATGCAGTAGAGAGTTTGTCAGAAACACCTGATTCGCGGCCTCCAAAAGCAGTTATGCCCATACAATTAGAGGAGAAGGTTAATAAAGTGGCGGTGGAGTTCCTTGCATGGAGCGAGATGAGAGCCGAATCTAAGAAGTATATGGAGGAAGAGATGGAGGAGGTTGTTGGGGATGAGGAGGAAAATGGCGAAGATGAAGATCTTATTCAACGACAGATATCCCCCGGGTCTCCAAGCTTCAGGGTGTATTACATAGAGTCGTTAGCTTCCACAATGAAGGATGTTGATAGCTTTGAGGAGTTGGATGATGAGATTGGGAATGAAATACACAGGGACATAGAGAAGAAAGAGGGTTGTAATATGATACCAGAGGAACCTGTCAAACGTAAAAAGGTAGGGAATTTTTTCATCTTATGACAATAAAGTTTAGACTTGCTTTCTTTTCTTGGTTATATAATATGGTCTTCTAAAAAAATTAAGACAATATTTTGTACTACAGGGGATAATGAGAACGATGCGGAAGCAGGGAGGGAAGTTGAAGAGGGTAATAATATCAAAACCCAAACCAACGACTACCACCAAAATGTTGAAGGTGTCTTCATGAAGTGAAAAATCTAAGAAACGAATTACTGCTTCAAAATCAAATGTTTGATCCTTTTCAAATTATTCTTTCCTAGATTGTTTAAACTTTTTAGTCTATACATGCTTCTCAAAATATTTTGTTCTCCCTCTCACTTGATATCTTTTTTCTCAATCAATTTTTTATTAAAGAAAAGGAGGAAGAACAAAGTAAACAAATCTAGTTGTATAACATCAATCCATGTGTTTGCAATTGCGTTGAATGATACATATTCTAACCTCGTTCTATGTATATATATACTAGGAATTATATTCGCATGATACAGCGTGTGGTTGGATAAGAGAGCACTTCATGCGTGCAATTTATTTTGATAATTTGTCACTAAGTTAAACTATAAGAAGAAAAAATATAAATAATAAGAATATAAGAGAAAATGATTGAGTTTTGAAAATCCTACTACATCAAGATTAAAGAGCTATCAATGTATTGTCCACTCTTTGACACTCCTTCTATTTGTGGGCCCAGAAGATTATCAAAACCCAGATTCGGAATTGGTTTTCTCATTCCTCATAATCACCAGACCACTTATCCCTTTCTCATCAATCCTCAACCCTTAGACATAAACAACTCCGACTATGTTGATTTATATACCTTTTTTTTTTGCTCGTCTTCTCTTTTGTTTTCCCATTTTCAAAATGAAAATTTTCGCTTCTCTTTTTCTTCAAGATCGCCACTCTCGGTGAGATCGCCAAGCACCTCTTCCACATTTAAAATTTGCGATGATAGTCACCGGTTGTTGCACTTCTCTTCTCATACTAATATTCTCTATCTTGCTTCTCCTTTTCTTTTTAGATTCCAGCCAAAATAAAATTGAAGGGAAGTAACATATGGAATATCAACCTTGTTTATCTTAACATGCAGATATCCTAGCGACTCCCGATCATTGTAGTTGTCGAATAGGTGTTTTGCAGTTTTAATTTTAGTATCGACTGCTGCTTGTTACAGCTCTACCAATTTCCTTCATCATTGCCCCAATGAAACAAAAATGGAGCGGGATACCCAAGGAAAGGGTCATATGGGAGAAGGTAAGAGAACAATGCAGAATCTGCATGCTCTCACAGGCAACGGTGCTGCTGCTCGTCAATACAAAGAAAGGGGTAAACACAGCTCGACATGCATCTTGGTTCGATTTTCCGAAATTTTGCTTGAATTTCTTCTAACTGATCATCAATCAATTGTCATGCAAATCGCGATTTCTCATATGGATGGTCTAGGGTTCGTGATTATAAAAAAGAGTTATGAATTGATGCTAATACCAATCTTATTGGTCCATTTTTCCAATCTAATTGTCACATTCTTGTATCATTGAGACTGGTCTCAAATAGAGAGGCCCATCTGAAAATGGATCATTGTCTCAAAAGTCGATGGGGGTTTAGCTCAACCCATCAAAGTTTGTTGAAAATAACACATTACAATAATACTTATTTTAGCGAACAGTAATGGGGCATTTAGCTTTATATATATTAATATATTAGTGAACAGTAACGCGTATTTAGCTTTATATATATTCATATGGTTTTTCCTATTCTTCCCCTGTTTGTATTCATCGTCATTTCCCATATTTCTCCCACTATGTTCCACGAAGGTAGAAACTAAAAAAGTTATGATTAAGGTTGCGTGGGACTTATTGGCTACGCCAAAGAAAGAGGGTGGTATGGGATTGCATGACCTCCGAACTTGGAACATTGCCTATTTGGCTCGTCTCTTGTGGTTGCGAGCTCGAGCTTTTGGGTGGCATGGGTGAGGCGTTATAGGCTGCGAGCTCGATCTATTTGCGAGCTGCAGCCTACCATGGCTGGATCCTGACTATGGAGACAACTATGTAAGCTTCATGGGTGTTATCAATATAGAATGACTGTAAATGCTCAAATTCGGGTCTTCTGGGAGGCAAACTTATGCAAAGGTTTTCGGTGCAACAAGTATGGGAGTCCATTCGGGTGCATAGACTTCTGGTTCCATGGTGGCAGCTGATTTGGGGTAAGTATACTCTCCCCAGAAATAGAGTTATTGTGTGGCTTCATTTTAAATCGAATAGTGATTCGTTACAAGCTCAAGAAGTGGGGTAAGATCAATGAGGCAGTGTGTTTACTTTGTGATATAGAGGAAGAAAGCCGCTCTCATTTGTTCTGTAGTTGTGAGTATACTGGGCACTTGTTTGCTGCGGGTTCTGATTGGGAGCAGATGCTACAAGAGATGTGTGGGGTTAGTCGTGCAAGCCCTTCGTTACCTTCTGGCTCTGGCGGGTGAGAATTCCTTGGTATTATACCAGGATCTCTACCTGAAGTTAATAGAAGAAATACCAAGTCCTGGAGTAAAAAGGAAAAGAAACACTTCCATCAGTTGGACAAACAGTAGGTCACAACTATATTTGACCCTCTCTCACATCTACTCTAATTCTCAATTGGGATGAATCCAAATCAAACAACATAAGACAATGGAGTAATCAAGTAGAGGAACTCACGAGAGCAGTTAAGAAAGAAACGATGGCGAGTATTGATATCCCTGAATGATGAGGGAAATCGTCCATTAACTTGCGTCCCACAAAGATGCAGAAAACAACAGCAGGAGCACCAATCAGCAACATGGTTAGGGCCAGTGATCTTGCATCTGGTCCAAATATAAGCCTTCCACCGCAAACAAATATCTGCAGACAAACAAACATGGCTAGAACTGTTCAGCAGAAGATCAACACCTTCAACACAAACATAAGTCACAAGTTATGATTCAGGAAGAAAAGTTACACCACAAACTTTTAACATAAAAAGAAGAGATCTTGATACCCTCACACGTTAATCATTTGCTTTGGCACCACAGTTAGGTTGATTGATTAACCAGACTTTTCAGATACAGTAAAGTTGAAGGTGCCATAATTGGATCGCCGGATTCCTTTGAGGAAAATAAGGGCACGGCTTTGTGAAGAAACAAGGAGATCGAGAATCTATGTGCTATAACAACCATAGAAGTTGAATTTGGAGCCGGGATTGGCTTCTATTACTACCAAGTAAACAGAGAATCTGACTTCCAGAGCTGGCCGAAATTCCCGGGGGGACCAGGAAAATGATCATAGCATCAACAAAACCAACCCCAAACCCCATCTAAACCGGTAGCAGCAGCAATCGGCCACCTGACCTAAAACTATGGCAGCAAAACAATCAGATCAAACATATTTCCCATCTAAAATCTGGATACTACAAACATATAGCATCAACAAATCCAATCCCAAATCCCATCTAAACCGGTAGCAGCAGCAATCGGCCACATGACCTAAAACTATGGCAGCAAAACAATCAGATCAATCTGAAATCTGGATAAACTACAAAACCCTAGTTTTTAATTTCTAAAACCAGTCCATATCCCACCAAAACCATACCGGAGAAGACCAATCCGTCGGTCCAGACACCTTGATGGAAGTAAAACACCAAATAAACAAGCCAGGGAAGAATCAGGAAGAAGAGAAGAGGTGGGGGGATAATTTACTAACATTACTCCCTTTCCAAGCCTGATAAACTCTGGGGCGATCCTTGTCCTGGTCATCAACGTCATCGCCGCTGGCGCCGGGATGAGCAGTAGCAGACGGATCGTTAGGAGGCATGGGAACAGGATACATCTCTCTCTCCCTCATCATCTTCTTCTTCTTCTTCTTCTTCTTCTTCTTCTTCTTCTTCTTCTTCTTCTGTTTGAACTTGTTTCTGTTACTGCTGAATTATTTGGCCTTTTTTCCTCTGAAATAAGCCAAATCAGGACGCAACCAGCCACATAGAGAGATGACGGCAAAGAGGTCAAACTCAAACCCACCCAAAACTTGTCGTGGGTTCCTCTTCTCTTCTCTTAACTTCTGCTTCTCCTCCTCCTTTAGGAATCTGTAAAGAAATTATGCGGAAAAGTGGCTGTGAAAGGTCAACCAAGGACCAATATGTAAAATGTAAAAAGTTTAGGTACTAAAATGTCACAATGAAAAATTTTAGGTACCAAAATGTAATTTTCCAATGATATTTTTTGTATAAAAAATAAAATTTTAGGTACCAAAATGTAACAAATAAAAATTATAGGTACTAAACCGTAATTTGCCAATGATCCATGGATCTAATCCATTAATCCATCAATCCAATTGGATTTGGATCAAATGGATTGGATTTAAATGGATTGGATTAGGTGGATATTTTTAATGGATTGATGGATTGGATTGAAATTGCCACCTCTAGCCACAATCACAAATGAAACTTGTTTTCCATCACAATAATATTGTTGGGATTTGTTTTTCGTTGAACTATTGTCGGGATTTGTCTCGCAAACTTGTGATACTTAGATTGAAGCTTGTTTTCCACCTCTAGCCACAATCACAAATGAAACTTGTTTTCCATCACAATAATATTGTTGGGATTTGTTTTTCGTTGAACTATTGTCGGGATTTGTCTCGCAAACTTGTGATACTTAGATTGAAGCTTTGAAAACAAAGGCTTACTAACTTCTTCAATGTTGTTTTCATCTGCCTCAATTTCAATGATTCGTTTTACTTTATTTTGATTCATAGGCTACATTGGAAGGAGAAGTTCATAATAAGCGGCTTGAGAGTTGAGAAGGAACTAGATAATGCCCGAGATTCAGATGTTTGGGGTTGGATTTGTATGTTTGGGGTTGGATTTGTATGTTTCTCCTTGAGCTTCTAAAAGTGCAGAAATTTCAGAATTGAAGAAGGGAGCAATCTGGTGAATGATGAAGCAAGGGTGACGGTAATTGGTTTGCAAATTGCAAATCATCATCACATTTACGTTACTCAATCTGTGAACCAATCAACCTATTTTGGCCCCAATCCATAAGGGACAAACACAACCCATAACCGAACCATGGCAAAGCTAGAAGATAAAAGATTTAAGTGGGAATAGCATTCTCAATCTCCCAGACTGCAAAGAATCACGAGCGATTGCTTTCCAAATGTCACCAGGTTACTAATTTGGTATTCCTGCCCTAGCTACTTTCTTCTCAAGGCCAGTGACTGTGCTACTTTATGCCAACAACTAATTGCAACAAGAGTAGGTAATGCAACATATCAATGAACTTCAAGAGCTATAGTTCTCGATGATCTGAACGAGCGACATCCATGTAACTGTAGTACAAGGCCAAAATGGATAGATGGTTCTCCAGAGAAAAATGCACTTGTGCTCTAGAAAGACTCGAGACATGAGAGAGCTAATTCGTCCCTCGACTCACTCACTGCATGGACTGGAAACGCTTCATGATGATTAGGGTCAAGTCCAAGTACCGCTGAGCACAGTTGGAAAGGCAAGCTGATTCGCCTGAGCTAAACTTGCTTCCGGGTGCTAGTTATGCACTTATCCCAGCACACGCTAGTGAGCTTCGCTACCATCTCATTCATCATGGCTCTTTCCTTTTCTTGCTGCAATTCAAAACCATAACAAAAAGACATCAATTGATAAATAACTAAATAAAAACGTCGGAAGCAGCATATGGAAGAGATCAGTAATTCCCCCTCCCCTCCCGATTAATCTCACGTCAGAATCAATACAAACAAGCAGAATACTCAACACACAGACACTAAGTTTAAGTCCAGAGAACAGCTTAGAGCGTAGCTCATGCAGTTGATAAAAGGGAAAAACCAGCAATCCATACAGCAGCTAGTATCTTCTAACCCTAGTAAATTCAACGCCGGATTCTCTTTTCCCAATTTCTGGAGCCATTATGCAAAGGCACAGACAAGAAAGCGACGATCAACAGAGTGCATAATAATCTCTGAAGCAGTAGGACCCATTGGATTCACAGCAATTATGGTCAACAACGCCAAATTAGAACCGATACAGAAAAAAACAATTACGAAGAAACTATGGACACCAAGAGGAAAAAGAAAGAAGCTATAAGGCTGCTGGGGGGAGACTAAAGTTCGCTTACATTGAGGAAACGCTGCACTTCAGCTGTATTGAGGGATGAAGGATCCATTGCCTATTTGCCTCTGCTCCGATGGTGTGCGTTGAGGGATCAGGATTCTTCAAAACCTCACTCGACTGCTGCTGTTCTGAGAAACCCTAACTAACAAAAACCACCAGAGAATAAGGAGAAGAAGCGACCGCCCCGCGGAATTAGAACCGCGACTGAAGGGAATGGAAATGGGTTGGGCCGGCCAATTACGTGGCGCTTCAACTTGTCAAAGCCTAATCGCTAATGGTACGACGTAAGGCCTGTCGGGCTTTTCCGTCCATGGCTGGTCTGTTAGGTGAACCAGCCCATTCGAGATGCTTATAGAATTAAGCAGTTTGATAGGCCGGGCCAATAGTAGTGATTGGAATTAGGCAGGTACCTCAATTCGCAAAGTAGGTTTTGAGGCTGTGCCAGCAGCAGACCCTCCGGCAAAGGGCCTCCAGACTTTCGTTATGTATGTAACTAATTACTATTACGAATTATTGGGGTTTTCGCTTATGAATTTCAAATGAGAGAAAATTTATGAATTGGTTTTGCTTATAGGTCTAAAATACCCATATTAAAAAATTTAAGTTCGAAGGCTAAACAACGAACGGATCACATGAGGGGAAAACTTACTTTCTTATTAAACTTTTTTCATACCATATAACAAAACTCAATTTTGTCGTGTGTTTCCTAAATAGAATAAAAGAGGTAAGATCGTTGATGCCTCATTATTAGCATTATTAAATTTGTTGTTTTAACCTTCTTCATTTTTCCAACTTTCTAAGGGGTAAAAATAATGCAGTTTCATCAATTAATCTGTTTGTACTAGTAAGGCATTAATAATAAATTAATTAAATAATCCGCATTTATTTATTACACGTTAACCGAAATAATTAACTACAAGTCACAAATAGTAGAAAAGGAAAAATAACTAAATCAATTATAAATAGCTTGCATCATACTTAACTTTATACTTAAAATATAATCAGTTTTCTCAACAAAAAAAAAACATTATCAGTTTCTCCTATCTAAGTTAGTTTACTCTATTATTTGTTTATACTATTTGATTGTTCTATAATTACTAGCTTTTACCCGACCCGTTGGTCGGATCAATTTCATTCTATTTCGTATAATTTATTTTATCAATATTTATGATTTACTTGATTTGGGATCTTTAATTTTATATGATTCACGAAAAATATTTGTGGTTTTAAGAGTTGACAATGACGTAAAAGGATAGTCTAAGCTATTATATTGACCAAAATCTCAAATATTTGAAGTATTTATTTGAAATTTTATTAAATAAAACACTTGTTGATTCAAATATACAATCGTTTGTCGTGAAAATGGGATTTTATGAAAAAAGATTCATGACTTCATAAAGAAAGAAAACCAATTTGATATTCAATAACAAATGTGAACATCGTTTGGATCATATATTTCAGTTATGTATTTGGTATCTAAATTCAACACATGCGAGATTTGTCTAACTCCTAAATTTGGAAGTAGGTGCTAAAACTCTAATCAAATCAAAGGTCAAGGATGAAAAGTTTTGCTATCGAATTTGAAATTTGTTGGTCCCCATTAATTTGGAATAAGTGACATCCATAAATTAGATTTGTAAATCGAGCATTCAAAGAGACCGATGGGAAAGACATAAAAGTAAAGAAAACAGTAAAACCATCCAAACAACAAACCTGGAAAGAATTATCATGGTGCCATATTAGCCAACATACACTACATTATTAGTAGTTGATTAAAAACATGTCATCTTCAAGATTCTCTGGCAATCTCATGGTTTATTGATTAAAACGCGATTCCCAATATGAGAAATCTGTATGTGATCTGGTCACAATTATCTTTTCGCCTATGTTGGTCCTTGCAATTAACAACCCATAACAAAATGAGCTAGCATGTGGCATAGTTATAAGGTATATGCACAAAAGTGAGTTATTAAATGTCGAACGGATCAGGAAGTAAACATTAATAACCCACTTAGCAATCATCCATATTAGCACAGAACATAGTCATCGAAGTAGCTGTTGTTTTAAGAATATGTTATCACCAACATAAACAATGTCGTGTGAGAATGAGGATGCATGGTAAGCTATTTTCGTACTATTATCTGATGTTGCATTGAAAACAAATTGTCTTGTCCCCATCCATCTTGTAATGAAATCCTAGCCCGAGTCATCTACTAAAAAAACGGCTGTCACCATCAACAACAACTACATGAAGAAAAGAAAGGGGGCTTCAAGTAATTAGTATATGCTGGCATTAGGAATGTTTAAACTTTCACTAATTGTTCTTGCTTCTAATTTTAAAAAATATAGCAGCGTTACCAAAGAATGCATTAGCAAAATATGACGGGGAACTAATCAAGAGCACACACAACAATTCATGATCTCAAAACGACAACTTAACCAAGAACCCCACCCACCAAAGACGAATTGCAAAATATTTTAACACATACATATATGCAAAGCGATTATCCTCTAATTGGTTCATTTTATAGTTATTATTTCCTTCCCTTCATTTATGTCATTATCTAGATGATTTCATATTTTCATTATTTGGGTACTTTTTAATTCTCAAATAATGATTCAATTCAAAAAGCACTTTAGCTAATGCACTACATTTATAGCCTTAGCACCCTTTACTTATTGGGAACTCCGTTTAGATAATATCACACAATAAGTACTTGCTATCAAAACTATGCATGTGTCTTAATAAACCCCTCGATGCAACCCCTTAACTTACGTGATTAAAGAAGCAACAAATGACGGTCATATTTCTTAATCCCAGAAGACATTCGCTACCCACATATTAGATGTCTACCGTAGATAAATGAAACTTACTTCATAGTATCCGCAATTTGATAGTATTCAACCTTAAACAAAAAGTGATAGCGAAAGCAATGGTTGTACTATTTTTTAGACATCAGATGCAACAACTCCTTCCCCTCCCTTTGAGGACCATCACAACATAGATCTATGTTCCTACAACTTCCACACCTATACTAAAACTTCAGACCCATGACAATAAAGATCTGTAGGAATTTTTGCCTCCAAACAACATGTAACTTTAGACATACCAGAACATAATTTTGTGTTAAAAGAGTTTAAATATCATTTGACTCAAAGGCTAAATGAAATTTGCAAGTGAATGCCCCCAAAAGGAACTTGATAATGAATTTAAGAACGAACTAAATAAACAACCAGCAGCAACCTTGAACCAATTAATTACCCCAATCCAAGAGTTGAAACACTTGCCCAGCCTCAAAGGGTGATGTAATGGAAATACTGTAGCTCTGGTTTCCCTTGTTGATTCTTGCAATAGAGGCAAAAGGTGGGATTATACAATCAGTTGATAGAAGAAGATGATTTGGAAACTATAGTCTGCCATCAAAGACAAATTATCAAGCATTTCAGTGTTCTTTTTCTTAACTTTTTTGGGATCAACATTTTAGAAATACTAAATGTGTTGTGTAAGAACTTACAGAAGAAGCAGCAGCTGAAAAGAACATAGGCTAGAATCACACAAAAACCTTAGGTTAAGGCATCTATGAACATTGACTCAATCAATAATGCTCAGTATCTCAAAATCATTAACCCCAATTGGAAGCTCGCTACTGATTCCTTCAGGTCAAATCGAATCAAAACAGTATCAGCCTAATGGAATGGATTAGAGCACAGTACCATAAAAACAAAATATCTAAGAATTAACTATTCGATGCTGATAAGATTCTAACTACAAAAAAAAAACAGTGAACTTAATATCAAATGAATAACCAATAAGTGATACCGTCTTTTCTTTGTGCAGAGATATCCTAATCCCTTTCACTCGGTATGCAATTACTCTTTTTATGTTCTTTGTCTATATGAGTAACCAATCTTCCTGTCTTATTGCTTCAAGCAATTTTTCTGCAGCCAAATTGGTCAGATAATTGGTCATATACAGAGAAACATCATCTCCTTCTCATAATAACATCTATAGATTATAGTTTAACATATATAGGCAAAATCCAATCTTTACTTTAAAAAATAATAGATGCAGCAGCAATCCGATATCATCAAGATAGCTAATATGATTTAGGATGATTTTCATGAGCCTGGGTCAATCAAGGATCAAAGCATGACCACAACAAAGTAAGGAATTGAAAAGTTTGCTATCTGATTATATCGTCATATGAAAAAGCAGGTCCTGGACACTAACAAATTCAAAAGGGCACATCCAAGAGTACAAAGTTAATAGATTGCCACTTGCTAAATCCAGGCATTCATTGCAAGTCAATTTCATGCAAGTTTTACATCACAGCTTAAAAAGTACAGTGTCGAAGAAGATAAAACAAACGGATTAAATATATGACCCAACTGTATTAATTAAGATCTCAAGTGCAATACATGTATTTTTTACATAGACGTTCTATATAAATCCTACTGCAAGTATTTGTCTTCGCTTGATTCTACCCTACTACAAAATTCTGAATAAAAGTGCTGAACACAAAACATCTTACTGAAGCACATCTATCTAAAGGAAAAACTGGTAAATGATGAGACACAATTCCTATGCCGTAGAACCTGCCATGATATGTAAGATGATAAGTGGAGGTTTGAAGCGACAACAAACAGAGAAGCAGCAAAGGTAGTAATCAGAATACTACCTTTGGTTACGAAATCCATGGGCATTGGCTAAACCAAACACCTTCGTGCATCTCTAATTCATGAACATATACTTTTTTCTCTATACTTCAGTTCGTAGGAAACACCTATAGCAACAAATGGAACCTATAAAATGGAAAATTATAAAATCAGAATCGTGAATGGGTAGGAACGAATACATGGGGAAAATCACCTAATTGATTTTAGATGAGTATCCATGTACTGGTTGGAACTGACAATTATCCTATGAGTATCCAAAATCAAATTAAAATACCAACCATACCTGAAAACAATACCAATATAACAAATAAAAAATTAAACTTTTAGATGAATATGAAAGGTAATCACAAGTTACAGTCCCTAGGCAACACAAACCTGGATTCATTCTAATTTTAGAAACCAAACACGATTTGTGATTGACCGTGTAACATGATATAACACAACATCAGCTATAAAAATGAGAGATTCAAGGGAGAAAAAAGTACCAAGTGAAAGCTCGTTCATAAAGAGCACAAATCTCATCATCATGAGAATCGTCAATCGTGTTTGATTATATCATTTTTGTTGGTCCTTTTTGTTGCATATATGCTCTTCCTCTTGAAAGGAAAAAAGGGATCAACGAATCATAATCA